TAATATGCATTGCTAAGAACTTCATTTGGACAACTTTAAAGGGGATTTTCTCAATATTTGGATTTTTTTGTACCCTCAGATTCCAGGTTTTCAAATAGTTGTATCTCGACCAAATATTGTCCTTTCCTAACAAACCATACATCAATGGAAATTTTGATTTTATTTATTCAGCTTTCAGATGATGTGCAAATCTCAATTTAAAAAAAAATTGTCCCTTATGACTGATTTTGTGGTCCAGGGTCACATATGCTATTTCCTCTTAGTGTAAATAGCATATAATGAATAGCAAAAATCGCCCAGCTGTAGGCTCCAACCCCCCACGACCCTAACACTGTGTCTACACCAAATGCGACCGCTGTTGTGTCATGTCAAACTGCAACAGCTAGAAGATGTCTACACTGGATGCGACAAAGTAACTCACTGTTGTAAATTCATTTGTCCTTCATGTCAAAAGTAGCGCACTCACTTGCAGTTATAGAAATAGAATAGGGCATCAGTTTACTGTCAGGGATTTGTCGCTTCACACTGCGCCACATCCAGTGCAGACAGAATCACTGTTTAGTATGGTTCTGCTGATCATTCGCATTGTGTTGCACTACTCACGTTCAAAGTAAACACAGTGTAATGTGGATAAGCAGTTTGGAGAATGGACAAATTGGATAAATTGATTAAAAATGCCTTATAGAGCTCCGGAGGTTGACGTCACGCAATCTAAACTCCACCATTTTGGCAGGCCATCAGGAGAGCGCTAGAGCGACTGTAGCATTGGTATCGACAGTTGTACAACAATAATTTAAAACCAGACTATTTAGACCTTATAAACCTTACAATTTCAACATGGTGGACAGCTGCTGTGCGCCAGGATGCCCGAACAGTCAAGCGAAAGCTTTCCAACAGGGTTGCCAACCATCCCGTATATTGGGCTTAATTTATGTGTCCCGTACGTGACCTCCCTTGCATATATATACACGCGATTGTCCCATAAAGCAAAGGGGAAATCATTTTATCGTATTCCTAAGGATCCCGATAGACGACTAAAAGGGTTCACTGAAATAAAACATGCTAACCAACACAAAATTTGGGATTAAAGGGTAAGATTTCATGACATTTATGATGTCTACTGTACTCACAGTGATATAGCTATGCTGGCTACCTACAAGGACATCTAGGGTCGATTACGTTAGCTAACAACACAGTTGACTTACCCTTCCAGTGACGACATAGCAGGTTGAATATTCATCAAAAAATTAGATTGCGTCCGTTTGTACCCCTCCAGGCTTTTGTTGGCTTTTAAAGAGTCTCCGGAGTAACGCTAGGAGGGAAAGTTGATGAGGTAGTTGTAGATATCAGGATACTGCAGGTCAGGAAATCTATCCGTTCCTTTATTGATACAGGTTAAAAGCACCATGGGGGCATTATAGGGATCTGTTATGCTTAATCTATTAAGTTTTGCTATGTACAGGTCTATGTCTTTTGAATTAAAGTATGCAGTGAACTCTGTTGCCTTGAAACTCATGCTGGCGCCATTCATTTCATATTCGCTCCCGACTGTCCCTGCCTGCCAGCATAATGGTGGAATCAGAATGGGTCACGTGATGTCCGGAGCTCTATACTGGGAAGCACTAAGGGAAGAACTGCATTCTTAGACCAGCTTTTCTGAAAACTTTCTGTCCAAAAACAGACTAGTCAATTAGTGAGGTGAATTGGATGTCTAGAAACTAGTAACTGTTGAAATGTCAGCACTCTAAAATTTGGAATTCCAAATATGTAGTAGCTACTTGTTGGTCTATGTATAAATGCAGATGTAACGTCTGACTGTGCTTATTCAGTGTATTGCTCCATGAGCACTGCATTTTTAAGATGTGTCCCTGAGTTCTTTTTCATTCTGTTGCTCTCCATTTAACTTTTACGATTTGAGTAACTATTTAAATCAGAGCCTAGTCTATCTATTTTAAAAGTGACAATGGATAGAAGACAATGGAAACAATAGAGAGAAGAGAGGGAAATGATCTCAAACTGGGGACTTGAACTCGATTCATCGGAGGCACATCAGTGCTATACTTTATGTCAGAGCGCTGCCCACAAAGCTATGGCTTTAAATCTGAGCCTGTTCTGAGCTACATGAGCTCAAGCGGTCTCTGTTTAGAGCTGATTGTAGATAATTTCTGATAGGTGAGACATGTTCTAGAGCTCCTTAGAGGAGTGGTACAACTCCTCCAGTCACCCTAAAGGCTTTGAAGGCTTTTGAAGGGATAAAATAATGACTAAGATGTTATTGGAGTATGGAGAGATCATACATAAGTTAGAAAAAAATGCTTCTCTTTTTTTCTTAGTCTCCGGTCAATTCTCTGAGAGTATTTAAAATAAAATTTTTTTATCTGATTTCCCCCCAAGTACATTAGTTTTTGTTTGATTGTTGGATAAAAATACAGCAGTCCAGTGTGTGAAAAAGACTCTCAATTTCAAGAAAATGACAGCCCTGACATACAGCTCATTTCTTAGATTTCTTTTATTAAAGAACTTTTCAAAGTTTCTCAAGAGATGCATTACAATTAAACAGAGTAATAATGGACCGTTCACATCTCTTTTATTGGTAAATAAAAAAATATATGCATACATATTTATTTGACCTTATGGTTTCATGTTGACTTAAAATGAGTAGATAGTTAAGAGAAGAAAGAAAATAATTGGTGTGAAGATCTTGGGGTAATATGGCTGACAAATAATACAGGCAACACAGTATGCCAGAGCATGTGCGCTAATTGCTTCATAGTCCAGCATGCTATCTAAAGGGCATTTAAACTGATTGGTGGAGTTGGTGATTTGAGGCGACAGTGACTATTGGCAAAACTTCAAAGTTAGACAGAGACTTGCAACTGAATAGTGAGGTCAAGAGGTAAAGAGTGTACCAAAGGGAGTGTAGAACGGCTAATAGCAGCCAGCAGTACAATGACACTATGATCTACAGTGATATAAGTACGGTGGCCGTGAAGTGCAAAGCAAATCACAATTCTGAAAACAAAATAACAAATTACAAACGCAAATGCAAGTCTAAAAAACAAAATAACAATTCAGAAAGCACAACAACAATTCAGAAAACATTATAACAAGTCAGAAAACACAATGACAAATTCGAAAAGGGTCGATCGCGTCAAGAAGCCAACAACAAGCACTTATCCATCTGCGCCACTGGAGCTGACGGTTTACAGACACTTTTAACTAAATGTAAATAGACACTCCATATTTTTTGATTGACAGATGGCTCGTCCAGTCAGCGGTGAGTAATCCCAAACCAATGGCGCTGTCTCAAAATATACTAACCTCTTCCGGTTTGTCTGATTTGTTGTTGTGTTTTCTGACTACAAGTCAGAAAACACAATGACAAATTTGAAAACAAAATAACATTAATAACAAACCAATGATTAATCCCAAACCAATGGCGCTGTCTCAAACTATATCTATTGTTATTTTGTTTTCGAATTTGTCATTGTGTTTTCTGACTTGTTATAATGTTTTCTGAATTGTTGTAGTGCTTTCTGAATTGTTATTTTGTTTTTTAGACTTGCATTTGCGTTTGTAATTTGTTATTTTGTTTTCAGAATTGTGATTTGCTTTGCACTTCTCGGCCACCGTATATAAGTGCTGTCAGAGTAAATGCATCTTATGAAGCTATGTCCTGCTCTTGTTAACTTCTGGCTGGTTTGCTATTCCTTGTCATAGTGTCTAGTTCAGGGGTGCAGAGATGCAGGTCAGAGTTCACCTAACTTGAACTTTCGTACGCAGCTGAATGCAGAACTTTGTATTAGCTTGTTTTTTTCTGGTCTTCAACATTCACATACAAATGAATGGCAGTGAGTGGAGCAAAAAAGTCTAGTGTAACCACCTCCATACACTGAGCAACTTTAACAATAAAACATGACTCAACTGCTGAACTACAAGATTGATTTTGTATGTTGTTTGTTTTAGATGGAGACAGATAGTTCAGCTGAAGATACTTTAGAGGCTAATACTCCATCATCCACCGACCAATCTTTACTTGATCAGAAGGTAAGATCTTGTGTTATTGTCCTTTTTTATTGTCCTTACTTAAATATAAAACATTTTACAAAGAAGTTTACAAAATGTGTTTGAAGACACTTTCGATCCATACTTCAAATTACTTTTTTGAGCATAATAATGCATTGTCTAGGTCCCTCTAGTTTCAGCATATCATATTTTTTATCTGTAGGTAAAAAGTTAAGCCATGTTTATGAGGATTAGGGCATGACCCTCTTTGGCCTAAGTCACAGGACCGATTACACCAGCTAGATGTAAAAAAGTTGGGTGTAAGCCCTACAATGGGCTTAGCTACGTCCAGCCTTCCTATAAATATTTACATCTGTTGCACCAACTAAAACTATGACCAGGCACAACTACACCCAGTGTAGACAATGCACATCCATGCCGACACATTCTACTGCTGAGGTGCTATGCTCATGACATCATACCAAGTGAAGCCGTTGAACCATGATTTCATTAATATTATATTAATAGTTAATATTTCCTAACAAGTCAGCATTATATCTGAAGTCTCCCTGCACATTCTTACAATGTAAGTGTCCTATTAGTGATGCACCAAAATTATTATTTTAGCTACTGTAACACCAAAACTGAAAGTTTTCATTTAGCCGAAACAAAAATAAATTCTGTTTAATAATTTAAATAATCAAATGTATTTAATAATCAACACTCAAATAAAAACTTTTGTACAAACATTTAAATTGCACATAAGGCAGTTTTCATGTCAATGTTTTAAACTGTTATGTTTCCATTTTGTTAAAATATAAATGTTTGGTGTATGTAATAAAAACTTGCATGGTAGATTTATTCAAACATACATTACAAAATTGCTATAACTAGTAGTAAAGAGGAGGAGATGATCAGTTCACTTACCACTTGAACTGAGACAGCTACAGTGAACGCCACATTAAAGAGCATCAAAACCATATTTTTTTTTGTATTTCATTATAAAATTGACAGAATTTGAAAGCTGAGACTTTGTTTCATGTTAAAAGTAAAAAAGCACAAAGCTCATTGCAATTATTGAATGGCAGACTTAAAGGCATGACATATTATTTCCAAGCATTTATACTGTCCCTCCGAGCACAATGCTGCATGGTACCGTTTCTGCTCTTGACGATTGTTATATATTGCTAATCCTGCCTGTAAAGACCATAAATATTACAGTCCACGTCTGCAGTAATAATTCATTCACAGACATGAATCCTAAAAATGAACCATGTCCGAATAAATCATGTACACCTACCTTTGTCTAGGCATATGATTATTGTCAGTTGTAATGTGTAATGCAAATGTGATTTTATAAAACTGAATTGTTTAATGCACCAACAGCAGAGCCGAAATCACCTAAAAACAAAAAAACAAAAATGTGTGTATTGTCATAGTTTTGCTATTAAGAAATAAGCATGTTAGGCTAATAACTGATCACATATGACTAAGCTTATAAATGTAACATATTTCCATCTAAGCTTTGATACAAATCAACCCCTGGTCTGATTGGGCAAAAAAGATGCAGGTTTATCTTGTCTTCTGTTATTTTCTAGGTGGAGCTGCTCCTGAAAGAGGTTCAAGAACTGAGAGATGAGCTCAAAAGCAAAGAGAGGATGATCGCTGAACTTTCCCAGCAGCTGGTATGTATTATAGTCTAAATATTTACTTAAGAGCAACTGACTTCAAACATCAATCAAAAATCACAATGACACCAGCACTGTAGAAATCACTCAGAAAAATGCAGTTCTGAGAAAAGTGGGAAAATGCTATATTATTAGCATGTTATTTCCGATAGATTACTGAGATGTGCTATGGTAAGTAAAGAACTCGTCAATGAGATTGTGAATGAGGCAGTAACAATAAAATCATGTTACTACTAAATATAGATTAATCTGTCTTAAAACAGGCAGTGTTGAACTGATTATTAATTACAAAATCTAATTCTTGCATGCAGAAGTTGTATTTATTTATTTAAGCAGTTTCTTATCAAAGCAACAAGAGTGAATATTTTATGTTAGGAAATTAAATTGGCAGACATGCAATGAAAAATTGTTGCCAAATGAGATTTTGTACATGAACTCCGAAATCAGATCCTTTCTTAATATATATATAAATTAGCTTTAATTTTTCATATATTCATATATATATATGAATATATGAAAAATTAAAGCTAATTTTAGGCAAAGATAGATTTTAATTTAAGTAATTATATTTTGTGCATTGTGACATTTTCATTTAACACATTTTTATTCTATTTATTTATATTTTTGTAATTTGTAATCAGTGATGATTCTCATTAGATTCTACCTCATATTGTATACTCCGCAAATAATGTATCAATAATATATTAATAATATTTAAATAATACATAATTTTTGCTTAAATACCGTAATTGTTATAATTGTCATATTGTTACAATACAAAACAGCTTAACTGTTAAAACAGGATTCTTTTTTTAAATAGTGAAATTTATTAATTTGATTTTGGGGTATTGTGATGTGTGTTGTGACCTATTGAGAGTTCCCTGGAAAGACCAACCAAATGTGATGAGACCATTGTGTCATTTGTATGCTGTTAATTATACTGTTTTATGTGGCTGTACATGAGCATTTTATTTTTAATTTTCATAGTCTTCTCCAGTAGAGGATATGCAGTGCCGCTGCTTGCAGGGCTCAGAGTCTAACAAGGAGTCACCGGAGCACCAGGACAAGGATACTCAAACCTTGTGGAAGGCACATAATGTAAGTAGTATACATGCAGAGATAGAAAACATGAACAGGGCAGCTTTATCACTATAGTGTTGGGTATATTAGGTGATAGCTACATTTACCCCTCAAATCACTTCTACCATAGTGTGTAATTTGTAAACTAATACATTGTGTTGTTTGTATCATGTATCAGCTTCATATTTATGGATGTTCTGACATAGTAAATTTGCTCTTTAACTCACCTGATACACCATTGAACCTGTGATGCAGAGCACTTCGGTACAAGTCCTGTAAAAACAAGTCATGAAAGAGCTCAAAGACTTGTATAAGCAATCTAAAGTGGCATGGTTATTGGGAAGTCATGGCCTAATGGTTAGAGAGTCGACTCGTAACCCAAAGGTTGCGGGTTCGAGTCTCGTACCGGCAGGGATTGTAGGTGGGGGGAGGGAATGTACAGCGGTCTCTCCCACCTTCAATACCACGACTGAGGTGCCCTTGAGCAAGGCACCGAACCCCCAACTGCTCCCCGGGCGCCGCAGCATAAATGGCTGCCCACTGCTCCGGGTGTGTGTTCACGGTGTGTGTATGTTCACTGCTGTGTGTGTGCACTTTGGATGGGTACATTTTGTGGTCTGCGCCGACTCGCACATGTGATCCGCTCCGTGCTATTGTGTCTCTGGACCGGAGCAGAGTGTGTGTGCGAAACCAGACTTCTTTTTTTTCCTCAATGGAAAGCATATTTACACTGTTTGAATCGTTCCCTGTCCCCTATATAGTGCACTACGTGCTATTCACTGTACAGAAGATACTAATTCTGTGGACAAGTGACCGATTTCAGCCGCAGCTTTAGCGTCTATTTTATAGTGTAGGGGGCGGGCGCTTCGGATTCTAGAGAGCATTTGATTGGACAGAAAGTTTGATGAGAAGCTGAAGTACAATGTGACGTCAAAAAATCGTTGAGCCGTTTTGGCGGAAGTGACGAACTGCAAGCTTTGAATGCTTATATCTTCTAAATGCGAATTTTGTCACTGTGTTGG